CGATTGTGTTTATCCGTTTGCTTAATTAGGAGTATAGGAATGTCAATCTATTTAATATCTTAGTGCATTTGTCATTTGATATTGAAATCGAATAGAGATCGAAGTCACTTAGAAAATTGGTTAGGTAAAAAACCAGTGAATAGCCGAAAATCGAAACAGTATATTGGCTAATTTTTATAATCACTTATTTGCACTATTTTATAAATCGAACTTAAAACCCCCATAAACCGTTAATGTGTTGATTAATAACTTTATAAGAATTCTTGTGAGAATGATACTCGAGTTGTCATTATCGTTACTACTGTTTTAAAAAAAAAATACTCGAATTTAATTCGTGTGCGACAACGGATCAAATTGGCACTGTTGCCGGGGATTCTTGTTGATTTTAGCCAATTTTAAAATTTTGTTAGAGTTTTTTTTTGCGTGTTAATTTTCAGGATTGCAGTGCAGTAGTAAGTGTTTTAGCCTATCGGGTAAGTTGGAAGCTACTGTTTTGATTTGCTTCGAATTTTTTTCCAGAAAATCATAAAATAATCGATGAACAGTGCTCCTTTAGAATAGAATTCTAAAAGAATTTGACCCTAAATATCGCAAATTTCTTATTTTTCTATTTTATTTGATTTATTTTCTATTTTCATATTTTTTTTAAAAATCTGAAATTTTTTGTTGAGACTTATTCTGATTTGATTTGATTTTTAGTTATATTTTCGTAATTTTTAAATTTTATTTTATTTGCTTTTCTATTTTTCCATTCTTTTTCTTAATATGGACATTGTTGGTATTTTTCTAATTATCGCTGCATTGCTGAATTAGCTGTGTTTTCTTTTTCTTTATTGATTTTTTCCTATTAAATTTAATATGCCTAACAAAAGAACTTTTAGAGAACTTGTTGCTCCTGATGTTTATTACAATGATTTAAATATTGAATATAATGATGTTGCTGTTCCTTTTGAATTGAAATCTGGTTTAATACACTTGTTGTCAAAGTTTAATGGTCTTGCATATGAGGATCCACATAAGCATCTGAAGAAATTCCAAATTGTGTGCTCTACACCTTCTAGACCTTCACTAGAGGACATTGTCAAGCAAATGGCTATTAGTAATCTCTAGTCTCAACAACGAATAGATTCTAATTTTTAGGCTTAGCAGACACAGATTGAACAGTTTGCGACTTCAATGAATGCCATGGAGCAAGCTCAAGAATCAAATCAACTACCTTCCCAAACAGTGGTGAATTCAAAAGAGTTGCTTTCTGATTTAGTTGATGATACTTATTTTAAATTGTTGTCTGATTTTCCATCATTAGCATATTTTGATGATACTTACTTTTGCAATTTATGTATCGACACTAACATTTGCTCTGTCTGTACTGAGATTAATGTTGTCTTACAAGGTGATGATTTTCATGATGTCGTTTATGCAGCTGAATCTCTTGATATCCCGGCTTCCCCGACCATGCATTCCATTGAACAACCTCCTTCCTTAGAGCTTAAACCATTTCCGGACAATCTAAAATATGCTTATTTAACGAGGAATGAAAAGCTACCTTTTACAATATTTTCTAACCTTGATTTCGATCAAGAAAATAAGCTTTTGCTGGTTTTGAAGAAACATAAGAAGGGAATTGGACGGACCTCGATTGAAGATGGAAGAAAATTAGTGATGCAGCCCCTTAATCTTTTGATTCTTGATGTTGTGAAAAAAGAGATCACATTCACGTGCCCATCCGACACTTTTATTTATCGAAGATTCTTATTTGATTCTGGAATAAAAGGAGAAGACACTAATTCTGGTCATTTAGCTCTGTAATGGTGCTTTTGTTCATTTGTGATTTGTAGTAAAAGTACTGAAATTCTAAATTCGGTATCACTTGTACCTCTTGAAATGTTAATATCAATGATTTGATCATATGTGTGGATCTTAATTTGTAACAATTTTAATACTGCCTTGACTTTGCACTTTATTATCACCAAAGCTTACATATACAAAGCTTATGTATACAATGTTATTGGCATATCCTTGTATTCAAAATCATGTAACACATTTTGTAGCAGCGTAATCCACATGTCTTGGTTTGTTTTTAAAAGAAGTACAATCTGATTCAAAACACCCTTGGCCACAACAAGAAGTTTCCTCCTATTACTTTAAGGTTGAGCTTGAGACTTAATGGACCATGGCCCACGAACTCTTTAAAACCAAACTTAAAACATCACCATGGCGCTAAGGTGGAGAGAAACAAAAGAGCCCAAAGACCACCTCGAAACAATTTTTAGAAATGACCCATGAATTGCATATAGTCTTAAAGTATAGCCCAAACTTAATTTGAAATACTACTTTGAGAATGACTTGGTGTGTAAAATCAACGTGACATAGAACCTGTTTAAATCATGACTAAAAAAAATCGCGCTCTGACTCATGACCATGAAAATTCACCATTTTTTTTTAAATTTTGAACTTTAAAACACTTACAAAAATCTATTAGTCACGGTGGGCATAAACACCCCCTGACCTAATTCCTAGAAGATCATAGCCAAATGTCAGATGATCCTTCAGAGAGAAACGTGAAGAAAAAAAGGTAGGAAAAATTTAGGGTATGACATCGTCATCAATATATTAGGGGCAAGAACATAGATCCATATTCTCCCCCTTTTAGATGATGACAACACATCTCCTACGGGTGGTGATAAAAGAGAAAACATATGGATAAATTTATGGAGTGGTAAACTCCCTATCACATGAGTAAAGAGTATACTCTACTCCCTTTGAGAGTATACTTCTCCCCTTTTGCATAATAAAAAATACATGAAACAAATATAATCTCATATAATCATTTAGAGAAAGGGAAGAGAAAAAAGGAGAAAATGCTCGTACACATACTAGTCAATGCATGATTGGTTTAAAAATTTTAGTTCGGTTTTTATGAAAAAAAAGTGTTTTTAGGAACTTGTTTTGTAAAAATGTCTATGAGTTGATTAGACGGAGTCACAAACTCAAGTATGCATTCCTTTTTTTCAACATGATCTCTAATAAAGTGGCACCTGACCTCATTGCCTTGGCCCGAGAGTGAAGTATCTGATTTTTAGTGAGGTTTATGGCATCAATGTTGTCACATCTTATCAAGACAACTCCAAGATTAACACCGTAATCACTAAGTTATTATTTCATCTAGATAATCTAAGAGCAACAGCTACTCGCAGCAACATATTATACCTCAACCATGGATAATGCAACACTTGCTTATTTCTTATTATGTTAGAAGACAAACAAGTTTTTAAATAAGTGACACATATTGCAAATACTTTTCCTATTTAATCTTCACGTAGCAGAACTAGAGTCGATGTACCCAACTAAGTTGTGATTCACTCATTTGAAGTTAAGGGTGGAAATAGGCCAAAACGATAACAGGGGTCTACGGTCTAGCCTACATAGCCTCAGGCCAAGCCAAACTTTTTTTTAATAGAAAATACCTAGGCTTTTTTATAAGTCTATTTAGTTAAAAAAAATGTAGGACTCAGGCCATGAAAAGAAGCCTTTTAAGTATAACAGGCCGCCCTATTTAAATAAATATGAATAATTTTTTTATTATCATTATGCTATGTTTTGTACTTTGAATTGAAATACATACATAAAAATTGGTTATCTTGGAGAACTTATAAAAATAAGATGAAAACACCTTATGAACAATGTTATAAGTTATTTTCATAAGTTATCTTAAACAAATACTCTCACAGAATTTATGCTAATAGGTAAGTTAAAATAAGTCAATTCAAACAAAGTTTTAGTCTCATTGATTTTTTAGTTTATTAGTATATTTAAACATTATTTTAATTGTTTATTTATATGTGTATAAAATAATAGGTTTTTATATATGCTAACATACTAACCATGTCTAGGCCTAAAAATAAGCCTTTGACAGACTACAGATCAGACTTGGGCTTCAGTTTTTTTGACAGATCAGACTTAGGCTTGACAAAACCCAACTCGACCCAACCTAACTTGAGTGTCCGTGTATCCGCTTTTTAAATGTGCATCTATGAAAATATAAGCGATCTTTTTTATTCAAACATAATTTTTAATAAATAATTAATAGTAAGAAGTTAATGGAAATTATTGAATAAGTTATATATTAAAGTAAGGATGAAATTGGTAGAGAAATATGTTACACCAAAACACCATGTTTTCTCTTTATATATGTTATAGATTATAGATATAAAAAACCTATTTGTTATGTGCCAATGAGATATCACATTGAAGCTTTGACCACACATATGTAATGTTTAAGAGATGCTATTGACCCTTAAAAAAATTATATTTTTTAACTATTTATTAATTTAGTGTATTTTATTACGATGAGAAAAAGAAACAGTTTCATAAAATGATTTAAGTTGTTGGTTTAATGGAGATGTATTAATAGTAATAATGTAAAAAAAATTTAAACTCTCTTTCAATAAAAATATATCATTTAAATAAAAATATATTATTTAGTCATATCATATAAATAGTTTAAAATTGTCAATCTAAATTAATTTAATAGTCATTGATAGAGAATATAAATTAATTTATTGGAGGGGCATCATCCCTTTAAGTTTTTTCCACTAAAATACTACATTTCTTTGTATGCAATTTAAAACACATATTAACTTAATAAAAAAAAAAACTAATTTCAAAGATTTACCAATTACCATGATAGGGGAAGGAACACAATTTAACAATTTGATAAAACCCTAAAACAACAAAATTTAACCGCTCTCCGTCAAATCAAATCATTGTGAAGCTCGTCGAACTGAACTCAACGCAGGCGAAGTTGCTCGTCGGCCGCCAGTAGGTTTTCCTTTTTCTTTCTTTTTGTGTTTCATATATTCCTCCCCCTCTCCTGGTGCGGCGGCGGCCGCGATATCCGCCGCAGTAAAAAGCAACGCACCAGAGTACTCGATGACGCTAATCCATGCGGCACGATTGATCTAATTATTTATGCTTTTTGTTCCTTAGGTTGACACAAAATGGATTACCGATGGACCAAAGGCAAGCATGAAACTGTTGGCCGTGACAGGAAGCAATTTATGAAGGATCGGGTAATTCCATCGATCTCTTTTTATTACTATATGATGTACACGACTTTCAAAGTTTAGCATATTTTATGCCATTGTTGTTGATGAATGGATGAAGAATTATCATAGTTTTGACATGAATTGGCTTGTTCAGGCTTATGAGGACTCCCTTACCGGGGATTTTCGCATGCCGATCAATCAAAGGCCAACAGAAAATGTTGATCTGGATAATGTTGAACAAGCATCTCTGGACATTCATATAAATTCATCTAATATTGGTTTTAAGCTTCTTCAAAAGATGGGTTGGAAAGGAAAGGGTCTTGGCAAAGATGAACAAGGTTTCTTTTTTAACTTTCTTTTGTTTTTCTACTTGTTTCTCTCTTCAATTGATGGTCCACTTATGTATTAGCCACTCGGTAGCAACAACGTCTCTGAAAAAAGGGTCTGAAACTGACATGACACTTGTGATTACGTTTAAATTATTCATTTTTTCAAATTATTGCCAGTGTCAATGTGACGTCCGTGCTTCGTAGATTAGCCATTGTTTTATTTTCTTGTTTGATGCATGAGTTGTCCTTGACCTCCTGTTTAGTACCCGTTTTCCATACCCCATTTCCCTCTATTCTCCTTCATTCCTAATTGATGGTTATAAATGGAAGATAAACTATGTAACAATCTAATTGTGATACTGATAAACAGACATGTTTTTGTCTTCTCTATTCATTCCGAGACAAGTGATTCCTTATAAAAATTCAAAACATATAGTTTAAAGCTTACATTTATACTGTCTTTAGAGCTGCTAGCTTCCATAGAGAAACACCTAGTAGTGTGTCATAGGCAATTGCGAAGATTGCTGTAGTTTTGTCTAGGGTAGTTAATCATGGCGCAATCGCAGAGTCTTGGTGCAGAACCGAGCCCTGCTGCAATCGACGGTAGTTAATCATGGCACAATTACAACTTCACACTGTTTTCATGTAGAGGACAGTATTGCAACACTTTGCAGGCAAAACAGTTGGGATGGTGAAATTGTCTTAAATGTCATCAATGTCACTGCACAAACCGTTTAACATAATGTTTTTCAGCAATATTCTGAACACAGCACAGGGTTTTTTGGCAAGCTCATTCATGTTCAGGTAAGAAGCAAAGAAGCAAGGATGAATGAGTAACTAAACATGAAGAAAATAATGCCGAGTAGATGTGCCTCAATGTCAAGTAGCTGCGCCGATAGAAGATAAGAGGCTGGTCTCAAAGAATACTAGTTTTAGGGTTTGGCATAATGAAAATATCAATGGTTTGGCAAAATAGGCTGTTCAAAATCCCAATGACAGGCCTAAGTCTCGTGAGTGAAAGATTGTTTCTCTCTTTGGGTCTTTCCCTATGAGACTCCTTTTTCTTTCTTTGCTAATTATAAAAATATATAGATTCTTTTCATGTTCAATATTAATTATTTATCATCTTAATCATTCAATGAATAGGTAAATATTAGAATAGCGGCTATCCTGCTACATGCTATGCTGCTACCCCATTTTTGTGGCCATTCGCTCTATGCTCGTATCCAGGATTGACTACATAGATTTTTGTTGTCTTTTAAATATATAATTGATTTATATCTGTATACATTTGGGTTAAGGTTAACATTTCACCTTTATCGCCCTAGCTATTGATCTGCAAAGTGCATGGGCTTTAAAAAAACAATAGTGTTTGAAGATGTTTTTTAGTTTTCTCTCGATTACTGCTTGATTACCTATTGAATCACTTGTATTTGCATGTGCCTCATTGTAATGGGGCATCATGACAATTAATTCATTTTCTTCTTCCTTTCTTTCAGTATTATTTTTATATATAACCCCTATTACTTCCATTGAAAGTAATTTGAACGTAAATGCTCTATATTGGGTTATTGGATTGACATTCTGGGCCTGTATGCAGGAATAGTTGAGCCAATAAAATCTGGGATTAGAGATCCAAGACTGGGGGTCGGTAAACAGGAAGAAGATGATTTTTTCACTGCAGAAGAAAATGTCCAGAGAAAAAAACTAGATATTGAGTTGGAGGAGACAGAGGAGAATGTGAGGAAACGAGAGGTATGCTTTATAACTCTTAACCTAAAGCAGTAGTTCTTAGTGCGAAAATCATACAGTAGTATTGAGGTTGATGTTTATATTTTCTCAAACCTGCACCTGGTAGCAGAAGGCAGCATATAACTTATATGCATGCCTTTTTACCGGATTGGTATGTCATAAGGAACCATCAACTTTGGAAGATCTTGAGAATTTCCTGCAGTTTTTATTACCTGGTGGCTTCTTCTGCCTGCTTCGGGCAAATTCTGAAAATTCAGGTGTTAGCTGAACGTGAGCAAAAAATTCAAACTGAGGTGAAAGAAATCCGGAAGGTGTTTTATTGTGAACTCTGCAACAAGCAATACAAATTGGCAATGGAATTTGAAGCGCACTTGAGCTCTTATGATCACAATCACAGGAAGGTAGACAATTTATCTAATGCTAACTAGGCTCTTTTGTTGACTCTTTTCCAAATTGCCTTTGTTTTTCTTGCCCTACCTAATGTTTTATAGTTGATGTTAAATATGCAGCGTTTCAAGCAAATGAAAGAAATGCATGGTAGCAGCAGTCGGGATGATAGGCAAAAGCGAGAGCAGCAACGGCAAGAGAAAGAATTGGCCAAGTTTGCTCAAATGTATCCTTTTATCTGTCTAAATATTACTTTTACTCCCTCCTCGCCCATTTCATTTTGGCCATGGTTGAGTTCTATGTTAGCCGGGGAAAGAATCAATGTTCTGATTTTTAGTTCCAACACCGTTCTTGTTCCCATGATATCTTCCGTATTGGTTTCCTTAATGCCAATCAGTGCTGATGCTCAAAAGCAGCAACGGCTTCAACTCCAGCAAGAATCTGGCTCAACACCAGTTTCAGTTTCCTCAGAATCTAGGACTGCTACTGCGCTAACAGATCAGGAGCAGCGAAATACTTTGAAGTTTGGGTTTTCTTCTAAAGGATTTGCTTCCAAGGTATATTTAACTGGTATCATGGCTTTGAAAATAATCTATATTTTTTCTCGTAGTGTACTATGGGGTTTGAAATTGGAATGCTTATCATATTTTTAGACTTCATCATCTAGCTCATGATGTGTTGTTTAAATTCAATTCAAACCGATTCAACCCTGCCAACCATTACTCTTAGTGTAGTACCTGATGATGCTTTTGCATTCTTATGATGAACCAGCTTTGTGCCTAAATACTTATATGCCAACAGTAACGCCCCCTCTCCTTTTATGCAGAACACTGTTGGTGCCAAGAAGCAAAATGTTTCAAAGAAGCAAAATGTTCCAGTGGCCTCTATATTTGGAAACGACAGCGATGAAGAGTAATGTGAATTTATTTTTGCAGTTTTTGATCAGTGTGAAGCCATAACTCCTATGCAGTTTTGGTTTAGTTTATAATATATCCTGTGTTTGTTGTTAATTTAAAAGGGGGTAAAAAAAAGTTTGGAATTCTTTTGATTTGGAAAATTGGACTCAGACAAAATGTTGTAAGGGAAAATATTAACTGCTTATGTTTTGCATACTTTGTAAAGATTGTATTTAATGTAACAGTGCACATAGAACCTTAGCCTGCCAATCATCAGTTATGGCAAAACTCAAGAACACATTTTGTTTGTTTCTCTGTTGTAATAATCTTTAATTTCAAGACACTTATAATCCCAAATATCAAACAATTTTAGAGGTGGTTGTTGGGTCTTAGTTTTGTTGCGTGTCAACTAGGTATTCTCCATGTAACTCTTGAGACTAATCTTATAAGCTTTGAGCCTTGTTGGATCCAAAATGGGCAGTAAGCTCTTAAAAGAGTTTTATCCCGGCTGGGATATGTAAGCCAAAGTTTGAACCTGAGACCTTGATTGAGTTAGAAAAGTTATGTGTCATTTTATCTAATTGTTTCTAGTTTAATTGGTAAATGAAAGTAGTTCAATTAGCTAATTGACTTTAAATTAATTCAAAATATAATTTTTGTATTGAAAAATAATTTTAAAATTTTAAGAGTTGAATGCATAAATTTTAATAGATGATAAATAATCATCTGATTAACCTTCCAACCTATGGTGCTTGGTATACCTGATCACATGGTAGGGAAGATTGAGAAAAGACCGGATAGATTCGTATGTAATAATTAATGAATTTATATATCCTCGTAAGCATAAAATAGTCACCAAGCTTGCACAAGTCCTTCCCTCAATAATTTCTCAAGAACAAAGTATTTTTATCTATGGTAGAACCATCAAGGAGGATATCTGCTTTACCTTTATACTTTGAACCAGAATTTTCTTCTAACCATAACGCCTATTATTTCAATAGATTTTTTTTCAAGTGTGTCCATATTTCAGGATTCAAAATGAATTCTCCTCTCTTGAACTAGCTTCTTTATCCCCATCCTTCACGAAAATGTAGGAACTCGCTTATTTTTCACTGCATTTGGGTTGCGATGCAACGACCTTTGCTTTTTTGACACTGTACCCGAGTCATACGATGCGTTATTTATGGGCAACGACCTAGCATTCACATTATTATATGACGCGTTATTTACGGGCAACGACCTAACATTCACATTATTTCGTAATTGATTTATGTCATGCGTTATTTGTAAGCAACGGCCTAGCATTAACATTATTGTATGACGCGTTATTTATGGGCAACGACTTAGCATTCACATTATTTTGTGTTATTTATGGACAACGACTTAGCATTCACATTATTTCGTAGTTGATTTATGTCATAGAGATTCGACAAAGATTTATGTTGGATGTCGACTAACTAACACAATCCTCTCCTTTTATTCAGATTTAGGACCGACTATGTAAAACAAAACTACCTAAACAAGATTAATAGACATCTTTCAAGTCATCTAAAAAAACACCTTTCAAATATTCGTGCTCAAAACATCTTAGTGGTCTGCATATAATTCAAATTCAACCCGAAATTCGTTCATAGGTGCTACTCATCATTGCTAGTTAAATCCATTTAAGAAGTGTTACCTTAAAGTCAGACCAAGTAGAATTTGGAGAAGCAAATTCCCACCAATGATAGCATGGAAGTGCCTTTCCTTTCATTCCTACATTTTTTCTACTTCTAGATCGCCTTTAAATTGAAATAGCGTGCATACATTTGGTTATTCTCACAATTAATAAACAACCTCTAAGAATTATAGAGCCTAGTCTCACAATTAATAACAGTTTGACGACCACTAGTTATCATCCTTATTATATTTAAAATACACTGAATAATATAACAAACTTGATAGGAGACCTAGAGGAGGGTATTTACAATAAAAGTCTGAACTTTGAATGAAATGAAAATGGTTCTTCATGTAAGATCTCATGAACTTTTAAGTGTATATGTTCACGTGCATAGCTATAGATAATAGATAAGTCCGTGAAAGCTATAGTTACAAAGTAGTACAACTTATTTACAATGCAGAAACGAAATTATGAAAATATTCCTCAACATAATCATTCATTCATCCACAACTTCATAACTAGGCAGCTTCAGCAAAACCAACTTGAAGATTTCCGTAGTCGGAAACAGTGTGATACGCTCTCATGAAAACATCACTAAGAATCCTGCATGAATATAGTACAACCAATCCGTAAAAGAGACAAACAAAACTTTAGATGATTTCATGTAACTCTTCATTCATGATTTTTTGGAGAAGTAATATACCAGAGTGGACCCTTAGGAGGAGGAATATCGAACGCAATAAACCCGCTAAGACAGACCTCTGTAATGCCTTCTCCAGTTCTTAGAAATACTGAAAAACAAACATAGCATTTTCAGAATCATAACAAAAAAAGCATAATTTCTTTGCAATTTGATATTCAGTTTTCTTTTGGAATGCTAGCTAGCTAGTAGGGAATCATAACCTGTTCTGGTGTGAGGACGAAGGTTTGTTTCTGATAGTGAATGAAATGTTTGGCATCTTAGAGATATCGCTACAGCTTATCACTGATTCTCATGGACTTGGAAGACTCTCACACAGCCGCCAACGACCAATGCAAACACTCACACTCACAATCTTTCACCGACAACTCGCTATGTTCCTTTTCAGTCACCATCTCAATCCCAGCACTGTCATAAATAGAATTATAAGTAAATTTATGAATCCATTTCAAGCCAGAACGGTACATATAGTAAAACAGAAAAGAAAGGAAGCGGGTGGTAGGTCAAAACTCCTTACTTCATAGATTGATTTCAGCATTTCAGGTCATCTCACAGGTCGGTTTGAACACTTTTATAGGCAGACCTATGACCTCATAGACCGACCTATGCAAGTTAAAATTTGAAAATTTCTTTTTGCATCTTATTTTTCTTGCATTTTTTTACCCATTTTTCTCATATACCTATATATATTTATACATCCATCTTTTTTTAGGTAAGGTTTCCTAGTGAATAAAACTTAAATGAAACCAACTTACAAAGTTGTCCATCATCTCCATCTCTTATTCTATGCATACATACAATTGAACTATACATAATCATTTTTCGATTGGGTGATCATCTAGATTAGGCTTGACAACGTCCAATTAGGTTTGGTGTAACCGAAAATATTGGATGGAGGGCTTTGTGTATTTCAAATAAGAAAACTAAGGTGGAGGTTTCCTTCAAGATTGAGTTGATTTGAAGGTTTTTGACGAGATCACGTCAACATAGATTCGACCGAGTGAAAGCCTTGGCACAAGGTGGTTTCCTTGCAAGGGAGTAGCGCGAGATGGTGAATTATGTTCGGGAATATCGGGTTTCAACAAGTTGCGTGGTCGGGATAATAAGAGGATTGTAGCCGCATTGTTTTACACTTGATCAAGAGTTGGAGGGGGAAGAACCAACACAAAACAATAGAGTTTTTTGGGTTTGCATTCTTTATCTCTTGTATAAATATTTTTGCAAAGAAAAGGTTAATAGCACTATCTCAATTCCATTTTAAATTAAGGCCAGACGTATCCATAGCGAGGCTGATTGGAGAACTGTCTAAACAAATATCTCTTTTTCTCTCTCTCTCTCTCTCTCTATTTATTTTATTGTTAATTATACAATTTATCGAGTTTGTCGTTGTTTGATCAATTTGATTGAAAATTATTTTCTACTATCTTTTAAAGGTGTTGGTGTTGATATAATCACAAACTATGATCAAATCAACTGCAAGTGATGATACAGAAAAAAAGGAAGCTGAAACGTGTCAGAGCTAACAATGATGGTGAATATAGAGGTCCATTTGAATATTATTTTAAAGAGCGTCAAATCAAGCTTAAGAAGATTGTTCCAAAGACTCCTCAACATAATGGAGTTGCAGAGAGAATGAATCTTAAAATTAATGATAGAATTAGGTGCATGCTTTCTCATGCAAAGTTATCAAAAACCTTTTAGGATGAAACATTGACAACTGTAGTTGATTTGATCAATCTTTCTCTTTATGTTCCACTTGATGGTGATGTTCCAAACAAACTATGGACATGTAAAAATGTCTCTTATGGTTACTTGAGAGTGTTTGCCTGTATGGCTTTTGCTCACATTCTAAGTGATGAGAGATCCAATCTTGATAAAAGATCTAAACAATGTGTGTTTGTAGGTTATGGTCATGATGAGTTTGGTTATAGATTATGGGATCTAGTTGACAAGAAAATAATCAAAAGTCGTGATGTGATATTTCTTGAAGACCAAACCATTGAAAATTTTGATAAAGTTGAGAAGCGAAGATCTGATGCTAGAAGTTACACTGATGTTGTGCCTAAACCTCATAGTAGAAATTTTATTGATGGGGGAGAATGGAGATATGCATGTAGATGATGATAATCTAATCAATAACAAAGAACCTTATCATGATGAACAAGTTGAAGAGGTTCTATCTAAGACAAAGGTTGAATCTGAGTTGAGAAGATCTACTAGAGAGCGTCAACTTTCTCAAAGACATCCCCCCACACAAGTATGTGATGATCACTGATAATGAAGAGCCAGAATACTAGCAAGAGGCCATTTGAAATGTTGATAAAGAAAAGTGGTTGAAGGCCATTCAAGAAGAGATGAATTATGTGCATGAGAATCACACATATGAGTTGGTGAAATTTTCTAAGAGTAGAAGAGCACTCAAGAATAAATGGGTATACAGTATAAATTCTAACGAGAATAAATCTCAACCAAGATATAAAGAAAGATTGGTTGTGAAATGTTTTAATCAAATAAAAGATATTTATATGAAAATTTTCTCACTTATGATGAAGATGACAACTATTCGAGTTGTATTGGGGTTAACAGCTAGCTTGAAGCTAGAGGTTGAACAACTTGATGTAAAGATTGATTTTCTTCATGGTGATTTAGAGGAAGAGATC